CATGGATCGATGTCGAACATTCGCGAAGGCTCGTTCCCAGGTCTTCTCCCTTTCTCCCTCGAGAGGACCTTAGGAACGAGGCTATCGCGAAAGATCTCGAAACATCCACGAAATGTCACGCGGATTTAGTTTGACTTCGTAACATGGATTATTGACAAGTTTTCAGGGTTAAATTTCTCTTCCCAGAAAGCCTGGAGATTCATTTTCTATTGCCCTTAGGGAAAAAGAAAAATTAAACGTATGATGCAATGTCATCATTACGGTCTTCATAATTTTCATAAAATGGTAAACATCGGCATTTTGAAGTGGGGAGAAGGGGGAAGTTTCTTTCCGGGGATTAAAGAGCGGAAGTACCCGCTATGCTTTTAATTTTCACGTCCTGCGTATTGCTTCTTTAAATAAGCATAGTCTTGTACGTAATTCTTCAATGAGTGTGAAAAGTAAGAAGCGAAAAACAGTTCAATGCTTGCGTTGCCGTTGTTTTTCAATTACAAGTAATAAACACGACAAAATGTGGCTACAGCTGGTATAAAATTCGATTTCCGTATACTCCCCCGTCGTCAAAACTACAAAGTGACGTACGTGATGATACCGCCCCGCTTGTGCGTCACGCATCAGTTCATAAGGGGGTTATAAGATTGCTATTAAAGCAATTCAAGCTGATAACCTTTTCTCAAAACACCGTTGGGAGCATTGCAAAGAAAACACTGCTAAACTGAGGGATTGTTTCGAGTTTCACAATATTTATTCCACTCGGTTTTTCGCCTAGAGATGGAGATTTCACAGTTGCGAAGATGTTATTCCACATGCGAGGTGATACTGGAGTATAGCATTATTATCCTTGTCTTTTGCTGTTTGCTTGTGGTGACAATGTCTCTCAAACTTTTAAAAACCACGCAAAATGGATGGAATCTGGAGTTACCCTAAATGAATCAAGCGAAAGTTGATCTGACTTGGAAATCCATATGGATGATTTATTATTACCGACAACTGGTGACGAGCACAATGCGTTTGCTGGTGTAGAATTCGAATGTCTATTGATTTGGAATTCATGCTTCCGTTTCATTTTATTTATCGCTTGCTTGTGTAACAGTTTTTGAAACTCGACGAGGATTGATTGAAATCCAATATACATTTGCTACGTATGACCTAGTCCGGGGGTACGATTACAGCCAAGAAAAGAAAATAACTCGAGCTAACTAAATGGTTCAAGGTGAACAAAACTCAAGACTTCAAGAACAGTCGCGACAAATACTTAATCAAGTGGGCATTTTATTGAGACAAGGAAAATTCGATCCGGATCTAGGGGAGGCGTGCACTAAGGCCGATTCTCGTTAAATGATTGAAAAACTATGGCAAATTTCTTTGACTGTACCGAAATGTACCAGTTTTTTTTTCAGACATTAATTTTATCAGACTGTTAAAAAGAAGATTTTTTTTTGTAGAGTAACATGTAAACTGTTTCTGATATCATAATCTCTGTAAGATAAGAAGTACCCAGAGGCTGACAGGTATTGCCAGTATTAATAGAAGTGACCTTGATTTGAACCACGTAGCTAAATAACACCATTCTTCGACAAAAAACAGACGTTTTCTAAATATCGACGAGAACAGAGAATTGTTATTCGATTAATATTCTTAACTTAAAAAAACCTGTAAGAACTTGTAACAGTATTTTCTGAGTTATTTTGGCAATTTTATATCAGACCCTATTTATGCCAATGACGTGGGAGCAATAAACTCAAACTATTTATTTGAACCTAGGGTCATATTTTCTTCAGCTCTGAAAGGTTCATGTACATCAAAATTGTTACGATGCTGATCGTAGTTCAGCACTGAGTGATTTTTGGGTGATACATGTCAAATAATAAGGAAATAACGAAATGTAGTAAAGGAAAAACGTATTTTTTTACTTTCCTCATGCGTCACGCCTCGTTGGTTTTCCCGACATCAGCCAGTGCTTGTTTTTGCTGAAGGGAGGCATCGTAATCATTTTTTAGAAAACAAAATTCACGCTAATACGGATTATCGGCCTAAGTTTATTTTTACCAAGTTTTTTTTTTCCTTTCAATCAAAGTTATGCTTTATGCTCAGTAGGACACTGTATCTTTATTGCCCTTTTGTTCTCTGAACTTGACTGGAGGGCTTGGGACAAATCCCTGAATCAAATCTACTTACGTAACAATGGACTGTCTCAATCGCTCCGAGTCACGTCCGCATAAATGTTCCCTGTGTACCCTGGACCTTTGGGTGCCATTCTCGGAAGTGCAGCATGTGTTCGTGCACGGGCATAGCAGGTGCAAGCAGCATACAGCCTGTAAACTCATGAGCGCGATTCAAACCCGAACGTAGACGCTAAACAAAGTCTTGGTGGTGGTCCTCCGCATGACAGTTGATTGACCTTTACAAGGAGGAGAGTTTGCGGATCAACTTTCACGCCGAAAATAAACCAGTGATGTTGAACATGACCCATCTTTTAGAGGATCGGGTTTTTAGGCGGCATAATTGGTACTGATGCCCTCTATCAGTAGTATTCCGAGAAGCTAGCCGGTCAAATTATTTTTGGGTAATTCTGTCTATTTTTTGTAAATTATGACCTCTGAAACATTTTAAACTAAAGCCGCACGAAAAATAAGGATGGTTTGAAGAAATAAGAGTTTGAAAAAAATAAAAGTCGGGCGAATTAGGCAAATGGTTTTCAATTTACATAATCCTGAATGCACACAAATACTTGAGCAGGCTTGTCGAGTTTCGCAAGTTATTCGTCCTTCAATTTTAGTTATCCCCTACACCCATAAGTGATTCCATTTTTGTTTTTGATCTGCGCAGTTTGTTTTTCTTAACGCTCACCATTGATGACAGTTCCATGAGCGAATTTCAAGAATGTAGTCAATTTATCTTGAGAGGAAATTCACTCCCTTGGCATTATTACTCATTATTTTCTCCGCAAGGAATGTTTTTCCGGCACGTGGCAGGCGGAAGGTGAGTTATTGGAAGATTAGTTTTTGCCACCCTCCTAAGCCCGCGCTTCGTAATGGGGAAGAGGAAATTTCTCCCCGAGTCTCACGAAGATTTCGAATCCGTCGCATGGGAAAGCCTTGACACACTCCACTTCGAACATGGCAAGAGCTTACCAACTACTGGTTTCTTGATAAATTTTTTAGTGTATTAGAAAAGATTTCTTCCCCCTAATGCTTTCACAGAGTTTGTCTCTAAATAATTTACTTGAAATGCTGAGAGAAGGGCTTTCCTTGTCGATTGGTGTGGGTAGAAGTCTTCTAAAAAATATTGAATTCGCCTTCCGGTCATCAACTGCATCCCTAAAGAAGATAAGCAACTCCTATACTCCAATGAAACAGGACAAAACATAAAACTGAATTCAATCGGTGACTTTATAACGTGTTTTTATTCAAGACAAATCCGTGAGTAATTTCTAAAGACAACCTCATCCTTCAATCCTATCAAACTAAGTTTTGGTTTAACTAGCCAAAGAGCAAATTTCTGAGTTAGGTGGCAGGAATAAAATGAATTATTGCTTTTGAAAGCAAATTATTACTACCATGACATGAAGAAATTATTACTACCGACAATCGCGTAGAACTTTCACTTCGCCCAACGGTGGCACCAGAAAATAAAGCCGTAGTCGGGTGAGTTTTGTCTGAAATAGATTGTGGTGCCTGAAATACAATACTAAAAAAATACAAAAGCACTGAACTACGTCTTTTCTTTAGAATGACAATGGCAAGGCTTTTTTCTCTGACAAGTCCGGTTTATATTGATACGAGAAGCTCGCTTCTTTAATGTCTCCAACAAACACCAGCCACAGAAATGGCCGAGCATTCTCTTAACACGTCCTTGTGCTGAACATGCTGCAAGTGCCTCTTAACTTGAAGTGATACCATCACTTATCCAGTGAACATGAGTGACTTAATAGCTACCATAATCTACTTGTAGGCGTGCGGGAATATCGACGCTCGCCTCAGCCACAGAGAAACGCTCCAGTAAAATCCTAATCGTTCAGCCGAAGGTCAAAACAAGAATACTGCAGGTCTGCAAGAAGTTTTTGTGGATAAGGAAAGACTGCTACAAGCTTGAAGCCGTATTTCTTGTAAAGTCGAATGGCTGGTGTCTGTGCGCTGGTGGTGGTCAAAACAAGCTTCTCCAACTGCTGTTCTTTGGCGTGTTTGAGTAGCTCGTCGAGCAATTTCCTGGCGATTCCCATTCTTCTACAGGCTGGTGATACAGACATCCTCTGAAGTTCAGCAACTCCTGGCTTGTGGCTCTCATTATGAACAAGTCCAACCATTCCCACAACTTTACCATTCCACTCAGCCACCCACATGTGGGAGCTATCGTTAGCCATATAAGTCTTTTCAATGTCCTTCAAGTCTGATGCCAAACAAGAGTTAATGAACTTCCAACACTCCAGGTAAACGTCCACATACAAAAGCGACAGCATAACCAGACAAGCAAAAATGTAGAGTGGAACAAGCCACAGGGAATATTTAAACGCAGCAAGAAACACAAAGGCACTCAAGGCTGCGAGGAGCCAACAGAATCTGGGGAAGACCAGTTGTGTTACGAGCTTGATCAACTGTTCCATTCCTTGGGTGAATATCTCCCGACATTGCTGATAATCGGCAGTATGGTATGATCGTATTACTACCTCTCCAGAATCAATTGTTGTTGTTGGAGACATTCTTCTTTTAGGTTCAAATTCATTGGTAGTCGACATCATCTGAAAAACAAATCCAAAATGAAACAAAAGGGTTCTTAACCTTCCGCCGACAGAAAAGAGAACTGATTTATTCAAACCAACGCAATCAATGTGCCCTCTCTTGACAAATCACGCTCTTTCATATCTTTTAAAATTCCTAGACTATTTTAGCTAGAATTTCCTTTGTTATCGTATTAGTAACGCGTTGGAGATAATTAACAACTTCTGTCTGACTTCACCACACTAAACATAGCCAGAGAAACCTAAAAACAGATGCTTTTGTTTAAAATTAATAACCAGCCGACAAAATGTCAAGTGATCCTTCGTCAAAGAGCGCGGCTAAAAATGGCCGCAGGTTTGACTTGCGGCACATGAAGTTTTCAGTTTTCAACACTGACTGGGTGACTAATAAAAGGGGGTCTATTTCCTCGAGGTCTCACGACCACTTTAAATTGCGCACTTGTACAAAACTAGGTCACGGAACGTTCCGTTTTGATACATGAACTGAGCGAAGAGTTGTACCCGATAAGGGCATGCGCACGCATCTTACAATTTCCCTTTTTTCTTTGCAGGGTTTTTTTGTTTTAGTTTCTTTTTTTCCTGTTTTGTTTTTTACTTAAGAATCTTTTGTGAAATTTTCCTGAGGTTTCTCTGTTTAAACACTCCAGAGTGCAGAGAGCTTTTACCATTCTACAACGCATTCAATATATTTTAAAGTTCGTTTCGCGTACTGTGATCAGCAGCCAACATGCCCAGCGCTAGTAGCTTTAAAATTGCTATACACTTGTCTTACAGCGAAAAAAAACAAAACAAAACAAGACAAAACAAACGAACAAACAAATAAACAAACAAGAACAAATTCACAAAAAAGCAAACATACAGAAAGACAACTCTTTTCATCGAAACAAATTTGCCAAATTTTAAGATTGATGGCTAAAGGTCGAATAATTAATTGAAACCGAGATTGCTTATAATTTTTTTTGCCATTCCATTTCCTTTAAGGTGCCGCGGTTACTGATAAACTTTTGTGTCAGAATGAAAATATCGTTAGAAATGAAATGTGTTTACAAGTACTGGACTTTCCCTCTCGTTACATAATCATTTAGCACGATGATACACTTATAAAGGGTAAGGAGTCGCAATAAGTTAAAACTAATACGAAACGAAACGTTTGCTATGAGGAAAAATTAAATTTCACCTGCATTGTTTGGTCGAGAATAACTAAATTGAAGTTTATTGAATGCGTTACCAAGAATGCGTGTATCTATTTTACCACGGAATTTGCAAATTGTCGTAACTGTTAATAATTTCTTTCACACAGTTAATATTGATATCTACGCGAGTGAAAACTGTTGATGTAAATGCTTTTAAATACCTTCATTCTATGCCTCGCTTTGATTCACAAAATGGTGTATTCTGCACTCTGTCAGATCAAGCCCTGTTCTCCTACGAGGGAAGAGCAAATCAACGTTAATTTAGCTTTTGCTTCTCAAAAACAATTCTAACTAGCGATAGCAAATTAAGTGATGAGGAAAACAAGCGCCCCTACTTAATAGAAAGGCTTTTTTCCAAGTTTCGCATGAACAAAATCCGAGTTTGATTAGACAGGTATCTGCAAGCAAGCAAGCCAGATAACAAAGAGGCAAATTTTTCTCCTTCCTCTCTTTGTTATATGCTGGCAATACGTGATCTCCAAACAGCACTGTTTACTAATGTTTATTAATGTACGTGCTGGCATTGTAAGTAGACAGGTCTCTGATTGGCTGGGCGTCTCAGCATGGCTTGCGATGACGTTAAAATCGCGCCTTTCAACCAATCACAACGCTTGAAAGAACTCAGACGTGATGTTGATTTCAAAATGCACAAAGTCGCTTGTGTCTGTGTGGCGCGTACTTGAAAGAGATATGTCTGGTTCAATTTTCGTGTTTCTGCAAGGGATACACGCACTGGAACAACAGAAAAATTACCCAGGATTCTTCTCAAATAAGAATTGCATTTTCAGTTCGTGGATTAATTTACCCACTTGTCGAGAACACAACATGGTGAACTTACCTTACAGCAATTGAGATGTCTTGCTTATGTCAAAATGATTTTTTGTCTGTTTGGACAGAAATGAAGTGTCGTTCGCCAAATTGGGCCAATTCGTGAGCGCGACAGCCTTGTCTATAGCCGTTATTTAAACACAGTTTTGTTTCTGACTATAAAAGGAAGAGTCTATTTGAGAAGCAATTAATTAGAAACCTCATTCGCAACCGTTATTTTGAAACGCTATTTGACAATAAAAGTAAGAGTCTGTTTCAGCACTAAGCTTCGACAGTAAACCATCACGAAACCGGCTTACAAATGAATGAATCAAGAGCAGCTCGTGATCCAAAATCTATTTTTGGCGATCTCGTTCCGACTGTATTAGGTTGCGGTGTAAGGCATATTTCGTTCAGTTACGTATGCAGTCACAAATAGCACCTGACCCAAATACTGTCGTGTTCGGAAAAGCTGGGAACTTGGTCACGTTTAATTTTGAATGATGATATTGGAAGGGCAGTATCCGGAGTAAATCTTCTTCATTTTTTCGAGCTTGTACCACTAGTAGACGTAAAATCGTAAAATCCTGTTAGCTACAAAAAATTTAAACCATAATACAGTACAGTTAATACAGATTCCACAGAATAGCGGTGTTATTAAAAACATATCTGACCTGGCAATTCTATGGTGCGTTTAAGCTCGGAAAGTTCGCTCGCTAAAAGCGTTTTAATTTTTGAAATCGCGTGGCATTTCTAAACAAACAGCAAATACTCTGATCAGGTTTGTGAGAGGTATTCTGTGAGGATTCGGTTTAAATTTCTAAGTGCCGGGAATTTAGACTATCTGAGACCGAGACAGCAGCGTTCTTGCACGATAACACGCCATATGACAGATCTACAAGTATCAATTGAACTAGGGACATATATCCTGCAAACATAAAGCAATCTGGGCGCTGATTAGGGAAACCTCAAAGCAGGTTCATATTTGCACTGTGGCATGGGTGGTAGAGATGGCACGACCCGAGAGCGTGCAGGGGTTCTGTGAGGAAAATGCTACGAAAAAATACCGACAAAAACTTCGCTTGCCGTGTTGAAAATCGCAGACTTTGCTGCTCGTGCGTTAGCAGCGCTGATGAGAACTGTTCGCGGGTTAGAAGTAGGATCTTAATTTCCAATCGCATAACGCCAGTCCTTCTTCAGGCGTTGTACTTCTCCTTCTGTTCCCTCAGCGGTTTCGCCTTTGCCAAGCTCTCAGCAGAAAAGGAAAGCAAGCGAACGCAGTGTTCGCAGTCGTCAGAGAGATGGTTATGCGTTTTCAAGTTTTTACAAGGATAACCTGCAAGCAAGCTTGGCTCTCCCTTGGGTCTGGAGCCCAAACTAATTAATCGTGAACTTCCGTCGTCCATACTTTTAGGATTTCACTAATCCTGTTGAATATAATATATATATGTATATGTATTGAGATAGGAAAAAACAAAGAGACTACACTTTCATCCCGACCAGCCTGTTTCGTGATTAACTCGTTCTTCAGGAAATTTTAGTGGCAAGAATATTCGTAACCGTCGTTAACATGCAATTTGCATAACAGATGTGGCGGCAAATTTAGATGTCTTGTTCAGCTGCTACGCAGCAATGATTTGTTTCTGTGACGGCATCAAGACAAAAGGGATCAATATCAGTATCTGAGCAACTGCCCACCTACCCCTCCCCTAACCCAACATGAACCCTAACTTGTTATCAACTGACTGTTGTTGAGTTAGGGGAGGGGTAGGTGGGCAGTTGCCCAGATACTGATATTGATTCGACAAACGTTCATAACGTTTTTTAACTGATGAAAATTCAGGTCGGGAGATGATTAGTAATTATTCTTTAAGGCAGAGGTTGCATCTTTTACTTGCGCTATTGTAGTGTGAGCTTGATGATACGCCATGAAATAAAGTGGTCAATGTTATCGTCTTTAAGAGTCCAGATATGTTTGCTGAGTGCTGTAGAGTTTCTGTGTTTTGCGAGTCGGAATGATGCAGTCTGGTTTCTCTATCTTGTCATGAAGTCGTTTTCTGTAAATCCGATGTACGTTTCAATTCAGTAGTGCTGTTTTCCTTACGCGTGACGGTAGCTTGGTAGATAACTGATGATTGGAGGCAGTTCCCGTTGAGCGGGCATGTGATCTAGTCGGCCCTTGCAAGTTTTGTTTTCTTTTGTGTTATTTGTGGTTTTATCTGCGGTGTCATCGATGAGCTCGGATAAATTTAAAATTTGGATATCGGTACATTCTACACTACGAACCATCAACGACTAACAAATGGAAAATAAAACAAAGGAACAACACACTCTGGTACAACCCTGCATTCAGTAAAAAGGTCAGCACCAATATCGGACACAGATTCCTTGTGCTAGTAGAAAAACACCTCCCTGAAGAAATCTTCAATCGCAATGTCATCAAGATTAGTGACAACTGCATGAATAGCACTAAGCAGATTATCGACAATCACAACAAACCCCTGAAGAGAGAGTTAATCACGAACCAGGCTTGTCGGGATGAAAGTGTAGTCTCCTTTTTTTTTCCCATCTCAATATAAATGTATAGATATATACATACATACATACATACATACATACATACATATACATACATACATACATACATACATAAATACATACATACATACATACATATATATATATATATACATATATATATATATATATATATATATATATATATATGTATTAAATATTTATCTGTCACGTATCAATTCTTTATCACCTTTTTAGATAGGAGAGGGGTGAAGTCTTCGAATTTTTATTTTTTTCCGTTTGGTCGATTTCTAATTACGTAACATTGAATACAGAGCCATGAGAAGAAAAGCTGAAAAATAGTCTACTTCAATGAGATTGTTCAGTTTCTATCTAACCACAAGAGAAATTAAAGTGATCTTTGGTCACCATGAATGATAAATTTACAATAATACTCATATCGTTCATACAAAACTTGTGTTCATGTAATAAATCCATTTCCTATTCTGTACACTTTACATCTGCGTAAACATTTACAAGGAGACACATCAACGTGAAATAAAAACAAACAGACGAACCGCAACAACAACGAAGACAAGTCAGTCATTTTCTCCGCTGATTTTCCTGTGGTATTGCAGGTTTTTTTTCCCCTCCTTTAATAAGTCATCACTTGTGAACAGCAATTTCAATCATGGGTGGGAACAATCTAAAAAAGTTAAGCTCAACTTAATTAACTTGCAAGTTGAAGATTGAAAACCGGTTAGTCACTTTTAATTGCTAATTCTACCGGCGAACATGTCAATTCCAGCAAGAAGTTTCATGCTTATCGTCCAGCTACTTTATGAATTAATCTGCAAAGAAGCATGTTTTGTCTTGTGGAAAATCATGGCCAAAGTCAGAATAGAAAACTACTAAATTGGCGAACTTCTTGTATTGTATAGGGCGAGCTCCTCGTAGTGAAGGCGAACTCCCTCCTTGGGGCGAAACCTTTAGTGGAAAACTGCGAGGTCAACACTTCTCAACCAAGCGTCGAACGAAACCTTTCTGAAAAGCACTCACTTTCCGTCAAAAGATGACTCGTCAGACAAATATACCGACCAGGTGAAATGGCATTTCAAAAGTTTGAAGAATAGTGAGATGAAAATGAAAAGTCCCAGAGTCACAGTTAATAGGCAGTACTCCAAAATGAATTCTGATGTTGAATATGCTCTTATAAAACGGCACCTGTGTAATTCATGGGAAGAGGCACGGTGGTTTCCTGTGTTAGATGGATGTGATGATGTCGCCCTGTTCATTTTCGCTTGAGAATTGAGTGCTGTGGTATACCTGTTGTGAAGCTTCTCAACTGTCTGAGTGTTATCCTTAGCGATGTTCATCGATTCTGCTTGATTTGAACAAATCTCCAATTATTATACTAAGACCAAGTCTATCTCACACCAAATTTACCACAAACAGGAAAGGTATCAATTGCCGCATTATACTGCACTGGGCTTTACGAGACGATAATCGTCTTCCTTAATAAGGATTTGTATGTCGGCTGTACGCTTTGCAAAGAAATTAGTAGGAGTCAGATTTAAGGAAAACAAAAAGGTTCCAAACAAAAACATTTTAGTGGTGGTTCCTGCGCGGCAGTTGATTTTCAATCCGTTTAACTCAGCGGTCAAAGAAAGCCGATAAGTGCACACGTTTTTCATTACCAGGTTTTAACAGGAATAAGCCAAGAAACACTTGAAATTGAACCGATGGATAAACATCTATAATGTGTGACTATGACATTAATTTTTTTCTTAAGTTATTATCATCGTATTTTTTTTTTTTTAGGCGGGAGCCTATTTTGGAAGTTCTATCTTTAGCTAACAGCTCTTTCCTCGCAGAACTATTTACGTGAGAGTTCTGGTTGCTGCCTAAATTGAACATCGTTCGAAGATAGAATCACAAAGGAAAGGACGAACGTTCTTGAATAATTGCATGAGTGGCTATTTCCTTTAGCGCAAACCGAAAAAAACAAAAACAAAAACAAAAAAACCAAAACCAAAAACAAAACACAAATTATGGGTCCAGGTGCACGTTATCATCCATTATTACTTTCAACTGATCCAAGGAGGAAAAGGAGCCGCAGAGAACACGCAATACAAGTTTGGGGGAGTGACGAGATATTTTCAATCTCCAAATGGAATCAAGTCAAAGGTCTAGAATTTTGTTTTTTACCTGCTTAATGTGTGTTCTCCCCTGGACATTGAGATCACAGGAATAATTCTTGAAAGTCGGATGAATGACCTTGAAGTGATTTGGAGATTAACAATTTCAGCCTGAAGTCACGTACTGACCTTGTGGAAGCTTAGGATAACTTTGTAAATATCTTTTTGAGGAATTAAAGTGAAGTATTCAAGCACTCCTTAACTATAAATTTCTTTGATCGTTCTGAAATGATGCCATGGGAACAAGCAGTTTAACCATGGCTAAATTGAACTAAGCTTGCTAAAATTGCTTGGCACTCAGTAACGCCATTTCAATTTGATAGGAAAGTAAACTGCCGAAACTTCAGGGTATCGAATCGTTGATAGCCGGAGTAATGCTCTTCGTTTTGTGTGCCATGCCTCAGCAATGCAAAGGCAAAGGGCTCAACCATGAAAAGGGAACATGAAAGCCAAAACCACGAGAGAGAACCACGACCTACAGTATAGGGCGGATTGAGGAAAAAGTCGGTGACAAATGCGCTCTTCCAGAACGGGTGAAAGGTGGAACTTAACCCAATGAAAGTGCACCAACACAAGAGGAAGATATTTGCGTGTATTTCAGATATTTTCATTTACTTTGATTATGCGTAGCCTATTGGAAACGAAAGCCATTGTTTTTTAATGCGAACGTTTTGATTTCCGCATGTTGGTATTTATTGAGCTCTCCCTGTCGAGGCCTCTTTACAGTTTTTTCGTTTGCTCGCTTTCATCCGAATGATTCACTAGAGACTTCGGATTGAAAAAGAAACGATGACGTCAAGTTAGTTGGGTTTACATTGTAATTAACCGCCCCAGAAACTCATATAAGAATAGAGTAAACAACTTTAATAGCCTAATCGAGCTTAAAAAATTTAAAACTGCAAACAGATCGGTAAAAACGGACAAGATATTAAGTTAATGAATCGGAAAGCTCTATCGTAACCGGGGGATCTTAGTTTTCAAGGAAAAGGGTATTAATCACTTTAATCTAAAGGGAAGCTAGGCCATGAAGAAATGTTGTTTCTGTAAAAGCTGTTATATGGCATTTTGAATTTTCTTCAGAGTCACGAGGCTAGATGAAAATGAAAGGGTTTGCACAAGCTCAGTATGTAACTTGCAACAGAAGGGCAAACAATTGATTTACTTGTGATTATCATTATAGCTAATTATCTTGCAGGATACTGAGGTCTTTATGATTCGCTAATATTTTAAGCCCCTGGTGACAAAATAAAGCATGTCAGGCCAGTTTCCTTTCCCGCTGATTTCTTGGTTTCTAAAATTAAATTAGCCATCAGGCAGAGACCAACGTTCGAAATGCTTGGACGTTGGCCAAGGAAACTGGATCTAGTAGAGCGCGAAATCGAGGTTCACAGCTAAAATTTCTAGGGGGGATATTCTGAAACGCCGAAGTTTTCCCGTTCCACAAACTGTAAGACGTCCGTGGCAGGGACTCAAAAAGATGAAAAGTGCTAAGCCAAACAAAGCAAGAAGCAAGTCAAATCAAGAAAAAATGTTTGCTTCTTAATTTAATTTATTTTAAGTAGAAAGTTAATTTGATTAAAAAAAAAAATGAAAAATGGATCGCATAAACTTTAGTCTATACGTTTTAGAGTTGCACTTACACCACAGGCAGCCAAAACACAAGACAAGAGTAGGTAGAGGCAATCTTCCCTCAAAGAAACTATCTGCGCAAAGAAGGATGTGGAAATACACGTTACTACAGGCAAAACAACTGTTTAGTGCGTGACATGTGACTCTCGCCTGCACTATATGTTTTCATTTTTAGGACAGCTTGAAATGATAAAAATGGTAAGAGCAATGGTGAGCTGAAATAAAAAAATAAAAAAAAAAAAACAATGAAAATCTTTTGCATATCGTGAACTTTGAGCAAATCTGAATCTTCGTCATCGTTACAAAATTTTTTTCCCTCGATTGTAACTAAGGTTAGCTAATGGTCTACCTCTTCTTGCTTCTTGAGAAAATATGGGTTCATTTCAAATCAGTTTAGCCCAAAGGGCAACCAAAGAATGTCCTCGCTAAGCTTCATTTGCCCAACCTCCTGGTCGGGTCCGAGTTAATAAAAAATCTTGAGTTAAGAAGCTTGATGCATAGCATAAACCTCTTGGGGTCTCGGAAGAGAGATCGATGGATCACCTATTATAATCTCCATCTCGAAATGGAATTACTGATCTACTGATTGGAAATGGATATCACATAAACCATTGACTTAGGGAATTTCCCCTCCCCCATAGAGCAACCTTTCCCAGGTTTCCGAGATTAAGGAAAAACAGTCCTGATTTATCAAGTTTCATAGAAGAAAGGGAACTGGTGACATCTATTGGCTAAACATTGTACGAGCGTTTCTCCTGGACGTAGTTCGCTGGTTGTCACCTTTCTTTGTCCGTTGGTTTGTTTGGTTGTTTTTCGACTTTTAGAGCAAACAGTTGAACAAAATGAGGAAAAAAGGGAAAAAGCCACCCAAAGGTTAGTAATACGTAAGCATCGATTTCTTGGACATATTTAGGATGCGACTGTCACATTGATTAAGAACTGCATACATCTCAGCCTTTTTGACCCTGCTTCGGATAAAAGTTCTCCACATATGTTGACGAGGCCAGAGGGCAAATTCACACACAGATAATAACAAGTTCTCTTGATAATTAAAAACAAAAGTGATAAAGATGAAAATAACTATTACGCTCGTTTAAGGTAGAGGTATACAAGATTATACGCATTATTCATCATTATATGCATATATACACATTACACGCATCGTTTACATACATATATATTTGTCAGCTCAGTTTTTTTCAAGTGAATATGAAAGAAAGAGGATTATGTTTGAGACTGAAAAAATCTTATCATCATCATTATTATTTGCCAAATGCAAGGGTGTAAATCTTTTTAGTCCCGGTCGGAATAAAAATCGACCAGCGAGTTTATCATGAGCAATACGTAATATATCGAGCTCTCCAATGAATTTTATCCTTTTACCCGGGATCTATCAGTTGAGTAAGATTTCATAAAGTAGAGTGTTCACATAGTCATTGGACGGACTAAAAGATAATGAAAAAGTCGAGAATAAAGGCCAGTGTCGTATTTGATCGTAGACCTTGCGCTGAAAAGAAATTTGATCACAAACAAAGTTTGGTTGTGATTACTTGAATTTTACTTGAAAGGTCATTCCTAGTTCTATTTAAGTAGTTACGCTTTAAGTGACCGTTTAATACGGATGGGAGACAATACAAACAGGCCGTTTGATACAGGGTGACCACTTAATACGGTGTCACTTAATTTAAATTCCTTTATATTCGTAGTTAACGACAAAACAGCCGCAGAGACTATGCTTGAGGAGAAAATTGAATTTATGGTATAATATGACATGGTAAGGCGAAATATATATTCAATTCTGGTCACTAGAGTTACTGATAAATCTTTTATTTATCCATTCTTCACGCACATTATTAGTGTATGTTCGCCGTTGGTTAATCAGATGTAATGCAATTCTTAGCCAATCAGAAGTCGCATATCCCTCTCATCACCTAAGCTACAATATTAGTATTTCATGGCTCATTTTCCCTGAAAACTTGACTTATTAGCACTCTAGGTGAGCATACTGCTCTTGGACAGCTGATATCCTTTTTCATTATCTTATTGGCAGACCACTGAACATTCCAACGCGTTCCTTTACTTAGGCAACTTAAAACATAGGACGTTGCAATGTATAAGATCGCAGTGCGCTGCATGAGCTCTTCCGTCGTAATAATTCTAAATAATTCGATATAATCGAAAACGTGGGAACAATTCATTCATAGCAAAAGGTTAGAGATGGTTTTTTTTTATTCACAGATGGAAATTTCTCAGAATATTAGCTAAAATTTTGGGGTGTTACGTAAGTAAATGAAAATTGATGGTTAACTTCTGAGGACAGAAGTAATAGATTGTTCAAGATAATAAAAGCTTGCTGAATGTACAGATATCATTATTTCTTTTAATCAATTCTGTCTTGTTAAGTAGAGACAACCTCAATTTCACAGCTGATGGACATGGCGGAGCCTAGGTTTCTCTTGTAGTGTCATGGCAGTTCGCTTTTGGGAGCTGAGTAATTAGCGAAAATGTTTACATCGCCGTTGGTGGTGTGCGTATGCTCAGCACCAATTGCAATATACAGTTACAACCATGAATTTTTTTAAAATACTGCTTCTCCCGCACAAGTTCTGTTGGGATAAAGTTGTCATATTGCTGCCAGATTCAACCTTTCTCGAGCCAAAAGATTTGATCACGGACTTAGGAACAATGAACCAGATACCTTCCTTACGCAGGAGGTCATTCCCCACTGAGTCCAGAATTTTAACGGCTCAAGAACTGCTCATGGAGTACAGCTTAGTCGTTATTTTACTTGGATGTTTTATCATGGTTTCATCGTCATCAAAAATGGTTCGCCAACTTGAAGAAACCGGAGGTGGATTCCTTTGGTTATAAACAGTGCTTTTGATTGCTTCAATTTTGGTCGATTGTATGATTGGAACTTGTAAATAATTTGACTCACCTGAGATCAGCGTCTAGAAGTCGTACAATTCAGTGAGGGAACATTTTTATATGCTGTAAAGAGGACATTTTGAAGGAATTCCACTGCGTGAGTGTCAGGTCCTGTAAATGCGAGTGGAAAGCGAAAGAAATATAGAGCACATTGACTGGGGTAATTTGAATTTAGATTGCCTTTGTGGAATTTATAATTAGCTGCTGTTTCGTATATTCTTTTTACTTGTTCCATATAGAAGTTCTTTCTCTTTAGTGAATTAAATCCAGTGTTTAATTCTGTGTTCAAGACACGTCGTTATATAATTAAAAATAAATAACGGCCGAATGCTTGTCCAATTCCAACTAGCGGGTGCGTAGTAGCGGTATTGACTTCATACTCGCATATGTATATCTTTATGCAACCACGAGTTCTTGGCGAATTTATGTTGAGGAAAAGCGTTGCCTTTCCCATCAGGAATGTCATTTTGGCGTTCAACCAAACTTTAAATACACTAGTCTATCTGTCAGTTGAAGAGCTCTCTAATCCAATCAATTTACATTCACTTTAAATGCAGCTGTCAACTAGTAGTGTGCGTTAAATTATGGTGTTCATGGCAAAACGAGAGTGATACGTACAGGTGCTTCTATTTACCGATACCGCCTGCTAGTTTTCCATAATTTCAACTAGTTTGGTCTTTCCGATAGAACCCATATAGTGAAAAAAAGGTGAAACAATAAGACATCAACCTAATTAGTTGGGGTCCCGTAACATATTCTTGAAATCAGCAGGTTTTATGCGGCCGATCATCACTTTAATGTTTCATTCTCTTTAGAGTCGATGGTAAGATTCTCCTAATTGACCCAATGGATACAAAATTTGATGAAAATCGGACAATCAGGTAAATCTGTCTGAGACCGGTCGCCTGGCCTTTACCCATTCTTTTGTCACAATTCACTTCAGTAAAGTTCACAGGTGATTAATGGCCAAAGTAGTTGTTGACAATCCGTCATTCATGCAACTTTTCATAATACGTTTTGCTGCCAAAAAAGAGAAAATCAAATCTCCACAGAAGCCAAATTTACGAGGTGCCCTACTGCGTGGTGCTTGTTACAAGCGACATGAATGCAGTGCATGGGATATCTACTGTTACTTGCGTGCCCACATCGACTCTTGAAAATTGATCCAACACCGCGACAACTGAAGCGGTTCGCAAACTGAAGTTAAAAGTGCACAAACATGTAAGTCATCGATTTCTAAGTCTCTTTAATGACGAAATTTTGGCTCTTATGCACAAACGTCATATTCCGTCGAGAAAATCCACAGTATACTAATTACAACTTATTTCTTGAAATCGTTATTTGATTGTTTCATTTAAATAACAAATTCCGATATACAGATGTCTTTTCACAAACAAAAACACAAAAGAAAAAAAAAACGTGGAAGTATCACTTTTCAGGAATATTCCAGTGGAAATAGATATATATAAATTTACGTGCGGGTCTACGTCACCGCACGTGTAACAGCAAGGACTATAAACTTCCATTTATGAACATATAAAGACGAGATATGCTCATAAAAATGTATTTCAAGGTTTCAGGGGTTCCTGTGGTTAACGTCTTGATTTCGGTGGGTTTTGTGAGATTGGAATTGAGTATGATTATTGTGGAAGTGAGACACGATTACCGGTGATTCACTAAGATCGATGACTGCGACCCTTTCTTACGAAAATACGAATTTCTCAACACCTTCCGTCAAATTGATTCAATGTATTATTTGCTGTACAAATTTATGAAACAACAACTTAAAGGATGGAGAAGTGTGTTTATGATCTATATAGTTACTTTACCAATGAGTAAAAACAAGGATCTGTTGTTCCGCAGTCTTAAATAATTAAACCTCTGAGCCATTTATCTTAATGGAAATTTCATCGATGCGGTGCTGTTGCCGTAACCAATTCTAGGCCAGGGCCCGGTTGTAAAAAGGTTGGATAACGCTTTCCAATTAATAAATCACTATCCAGTGGATAACTGATTGCAACATGTCCTGCGTTATCCACCGTAAAGAGATTTACCCAGTGGATAGCGTTATCCAACCTTCGAACAATCGAGGGCAGGACTTTTTACCTTGTTTGTGTCTTCATATTTTGCTTATGCTAAAATGGAGTATTTTTTTCTTTCATTCAAATTTACCTGAAATAGGGATCGTTTTTCGATCTTGAAAACTTAAGTATATGGATCTGCTGCTATCACTTTACCATAATTATTATCTTTAATTACTGTTTTCATTTTATTGGAGTAAAATTCATCAGCCTGGGAAGTTGGCAGTTTTTTTGCACCTGATAAATCTGAAGGTGATGGAAAACAAGTTTCGAAGTTGCAAACCATTCTTCACGTGAGTTCTCAACTCAATAATCCCACAAAACCGCAGGGTACAAAGTACATACACCAAAATGCCGTCAGTGTCCCTTATAACTGATGAACAATGTACAGTTTCATGTTAAGCATCTCGGCGGTTGACACGCATATGAGTTAGTATAATTAAACGTGAATTCTGGGATCATTTTGGGGAAACGACGAAACATCAGGCTGTGAAGGCGCAAGACAACGAGCAGTTCTGATTCGCACGAATCTGAAGGACTTCATTCTCTTCGTGAGGTTGCCACTAACTGTTTACCTATTCTTCAAGTACTTTGGCAATGAGTTGCACGTGGAACCGACCAGACCTACCGGTGGTGGCCCACGAACCCTACCCTTTTGTTTTCAAAAGCTAGTGTGTGTTAATCAATTTCCCCTTCTAATTTGGTATGTCGTGTTAGACAGACAGGGGGAACAGCTTAGTGTCAGCGCCCCAATGTCGCGACAATCACAGTTTTCAGCGGTCACGGAAGGTATGAGGTGAGTCTTTCACATGTCGTCTGATACTTTTTGTCTTCTAATTTAGTTTTATTGTTTTGCCAAAAAACGGTGGAAGATTTCATCCCAATAGAAACTCTCTTTAACCAAAATATCTCAAAGCAAATCATCAAAAAGCAAACATATAAAAAACGAAAAGAAACCAACAACAAACAAAAATGCAAAAAACAAGTAAGCAGACTGAAGAAAAAACGTACAAAAGATAAAAAGTTTTCTCGAGGAGTGATTATGTCCGATGTCACACATAGAAAAGCTCTCCGAGAATTACTGAAAAAGTTAAGGGTGGAGATCTGGGAAAAAGGCATGAAACTTGAAATAGACTCTAATTCATGTCTATTCCTTTTGGTGAAAAAAAAAAAAATGAGACTCAAACTTATGGACCTTAGTTGTCATTTCGACGTATTAAAAAAAGAAAGTTAGACGGTTGCAGCCTTGGTAGGATTTTTTTTCTTTTCTTTTCTTTCTTTTTATTTTTTTGTGGCCTTCTTGGGTACTTGATTGAAGAATGAAAGGTATGAGGTTATTTTTAGTCAGTCAAAGGTAAATTGTTGTCGCCTGTATTCAGTTACAATGCCAGCACGTACAAGTTTAAAACGAGAAAAAACAAATTGAATCATTTGATACCCGAAACTAATTTATACTAATTGCAATGCTGCCCTACTAACTGGTTTTTCTCTTAATAGGAGACGAAAGGGAGACTTTTTTAGTCAAACCGGTATAGAAAGTGAGTTATTTTGCACTAAATCATTTTGGTCACCAAACTTTTTTCTGTTTTCCTATTTAGTCTACGCTGTTGACTGTAGCTTCGTTTTTTGATACATGTATGTAAAGGAAAGGTTTTACCCTCGTATATACCTATCTCGAACTTTTGGGGCTAAGATGCATAGCTCTGACTGTCTGCAGGAGTACCAAGGTGAAACGTTTTTAGAGTCCCTCCCATCAGAGGAAGTTAGAAGTATTTCACAATAGTGTCATTGGATCTTTAAAGTGATATACGTAGTTACATTAATGAATATGGGCAGATATTTTTCACTAAGGAAATGACACACAATCTATAGTCTTTGCCACAGTAACTGTGTATGAGCTGGAAATTAAGGAAATCAGGACGAAAGAACCTTTCGTAATAGATGTTTATGATAAAGATGCATATTTTTGAGTGAAAGTATTTCACATTATCCTAAGCAAACGATACATAACGAATTTCAATGGAGCTTCTTCTTGACCAACTATAAAGTTTTTGTAATAGGAACTTTTATGGGAACTTTCTTATGACTCCATGAGTACGACTCCTTCACTTTCTTTACGAGGCTTTTAATTTTACTTTGCAATTGAATGTAAGGGAAAGATGACATTTCATAATTACATTAAAAGCGAACGAAATACGTTAAAGCAAGCGTTTAAGCTCGACAAGTAAATGCGACAAGTTATTTCAGTTGTAATTGACTTAATTTCCTTGATTCTTCATTAGACTTCCTAACCTTATTCATACTGGTAAGATGAATGCAAAGCAACAAAATTTCGCTATGATTGGAGGTGGTAACGAAGTCTTAGTAAGGGAATTCAAAAACCAAGACCTTCACGACTGCCAAGAGATTTTCACCCAAGGAATGGAGCAGTTGATCAGCCTCATAGTGCGTAATGTTTTCCCAAAATATCTTTGGATTTTATCGGCTTGGGGCATACTTGTTTTCGTTCTCGTCATCAAATTCCAATGGACTGCAAACATCTTCTTTCTTCTTGTAATTACTTGTGTCTTTTTTGCTGCCTGGTTGTATCTTATTCTGTATATTGAATGCTGGAAGTTCATCGATTCCTGTTTAGCAACGGACTTAAAGGATATTGGAAAATCCTACATGTTCAGTGAAAAATGTCGCATGTGGGTGGCTGAGTGGAATGGTAAAGTTGTGGGAATGGTTGGACTTATTCACAAGGAAAGTCACAAACCAGAAGTGGCAGAACTTCAGAGGATGTCTGTGTCACCAGCCTGTAGAAGAATGGGAATTGCTAAGAAATTGCTCGACGAACTGATCAAATTCGCAAAGGATCAGCAACTCCAGAAGCTTGTGCTTACCACCACCAGTGCACAAACACCAGCCATTCGACTGTACAAGAAATACGGCTTCCAACTCAGAACCTCTATTCCTTATCCTAAAACGCTTCTTAGCGATTTGCAATACTATCACTTTGAACTCGTGTTATGACATTAGCTGCTTTTCCCTTTTCTCTCTACAAAAGATTCAAATCCTCCTCATAATCAGTAATTTGGTGAATTATCTTCCTTAAACTTTAAAGAAAAAGATTTTTAAGGTAGCAGGTAAACCAGACCTTTGTGAGGGACATTTAAACCTTCCCCTCATGATGAGAAACGTTGCATCACGTAGACAAGAGCTATGCCCGTTGGACATCATGACTGTTTAATTCAATATGAAGGCCAAAATATATATTCTCAGCTATTGCGACTGCTCTTGCAGATGGAACTATTTTGGGAAGAAAAATGTTCATGGAGTTTCTCTTGTCTACTAAAATTTGCTTAACTCTAATTACCTTTACTTTCTAATATATCACATTCTAACTTCACCATTGCAATTATCACGTTTCAACAAGTTTTAAACGATTATAGAGTTGGATTACAGTCGGTTTGGTTTCCTCCCCACCATTTGCTCGAGATGAAGCTATTGGTGTTCTCCTCTCGCTCAAATATGACATGGATGGCTTGATAGAAGTTGTCGTATACGCAGATAAGTTGGCATTAGTAAGTAAATGTTACAGGTCTTCTTGGCAAGTAGTCATGAGACAGGAAAGACGCTAAGTCACCGATTGCCACAAATTGACCACAAATTTGACCAAATTCATGAATTCGCCATTGTCATTCGTTTCAATAATCCCCTCAGAAGAAAAAAATGGTAAAACATTAAACACAGACCAAAAATCAAAAAAATGAAACAGAAAAAAAGCAGGGTACAAAGAGGAAAAAAGACAAGCAAACGAAAAACAAATCCCTTACACATTACTTTTGACCTCTTTCACATTTTATAACATGACTACAAGATATCGTTGAAACGTGTATTCGTTTACGAAAGTCTTGACTACCGTAAAATTGGCTCCTTTAAGATTTAGACTGCTAATGTGGAAACACAGCTGGGTAATTGCTTTGTTATTGCTTCGAGATAGAAGCTTCACCATACCTATGATAGGTGCATTATCTTGACTACCTTGCTGTGATATCAGATTTTATCCTTGTTGATACACGATGCAAATTTTGCTGTGCCATGTTAGTATAAATTTGCGTTGTAAGTACTAAAAAGATTTATCGACATGTATTTATGTGTCCACTTTTTAATTGCAAAGCAGAAATAATCATACTAGGTTTTAGTTAGTCAACGTGATAAATATTAATTTCACGGGCCTAAAGAAGACTAACAGCATGCAGTCGAAATGTCGCGATCCACATCCGAAGTGACAACATCGTGAGACAAACGATCACATTTCCCTTTTGAAATAATGACACTATTTCTATGGCGTGGGATATCTCTGGTACTATTAGTCGGATAATTATAGCACAGAGTGTGTTATTATAAGACAAGGTATCATTTATCCTCTCTTGCATTGGATGTTAAAATTAGAAAAAGCTTTCTGAGGGGAGGGTTTGCAAGTACTAAATTAATTTGTCTTTTTTTGAGAAATTTATTCAACAACAACAGAAAAAACATTTTAACACTTTCTTAAGGTTTGTAAATTGATTGTTTGCGCAGTAAAGATCATTAAATGTACAAGTTTTTATTTCATTGTGTTCGGCTTTGAGTGAAGAGAGCAGAAGGACGAGATGGTCGGAAATTTTCAAAAAATCGATTAAGACCCGAGCCCCCTCCAACAGGTTGAAATCCAACCCGCCCCGTGATGCAGGACACCATATGGAGTTCAGGAAGTGTAATATTATTTTTCTTTTCTTCATTGTTCTCTTTAACTTTTCATAACTACTTGTTTGTTCAGCCCGACCACCTTAAGAATTGCGTTTAGGTGGTGACTGGAAGAGTACCGATTTGATGAACAATTAGGGAGACAGTCAACTTAGCGAAATGAAAGCAAATCAAATTCAGTGACATCTGCTACAGCACCTTCATTAGCTGATAAATATAGTTGATCACAAGTTTCCAGAAGCTCTGTGGCTACGAGCGTGCAACCAAAATGAATGTTTAACAGTCACGACCCATTGCTGTCAGAAGGATGCCATCGAAAAACTTATCTCTATTGCTTTTTAAGAATTCTGCATCAAATCTCGTATAAAACAGGCATTGGAGTACTTCGCTTTCGCCTGAAAGGGGTGTATTATTTTGCCAACTAGGATAAAGAGAACCATAAATTATTCTGTTCTCTTTAATTTCGCGTCCATTTGTGGTATTCCAACTGCACGAATACATCAAAGGGTTCAGTCTTTGATCGTTTTATCGTGGATATCACTTCTCTTCAGACAAATAGAAAACCAAGAACCCCGACTTCATACAACGCTGTCAGTGGTAGAGTACAGTCTGATCTCAATTGTGGGTACCTTAATCAATGATCAGGGCTTTGCTCTTGCTGCCTGCAATATTGTCAACATTATAGCTAAGTTATCTTTTTATATGTCAATCACTTCTTATCAGTTTGTTTATCTATTTTTTTTTTCTCTTATCTCTTCTCTTGGCATTTGCCAAGTCTGTAAACGTTTCCTTGGTAATGATGACGTCAAGCAATCGGTACACGTCTAGAAAACAAACTTCAGCCTCACGTGATCCAGAATAATCTCAGGGATACGTTTCCATTCCTCGTCTGGAGATAAGTTATGAGTACCCTTTTATACATTTAAAGAGTGAATCTAGATTCTTTTTATCCTAGCGTGCACAACAAAAATTCGCGTGGTGCATCGAGAAACAATCATTTTAAAGAAGTCACGAGACGCCAGGCTTTAAACAACAGCATTCGACCTTACCGTGACCTCTTCAGTGGCAATTAGTGAGGCAATCTCTATTTCGACAGCTTCAGACGGGATCACCGGAAACGAGATCTTTAACATAAGCGACGTTACTGGGGCTTAAGTGGATCTTCCTATGAGGTCCTTAGTAACAGCCATGTATTTTAAGTACAGACGTATAGCTTAGAGAGCCAAACGATTACCAGCTAGACTTAAACAAGGGACATTTCAGTTGTGGAAACCATCCAATTCAAACACTGCTTGCCACTGGCGATTGACCACACAAAGCGAACTACTCGCCAGAAAAATTGTCAGACCTGAGGTCGAATAGGGTTTCAGTGCAATTTCGTGTAGAAAAAAAGATCCCTTTTCTTAAAAAACAAACAAACAGTCAAACAAAAGACAATAAAGCCATAAAGTCGCCTGTTCATCGTTATTATTTCAACGCGATGGCATGCGAAGACGACCTCAGATTAGGGAATGTCTTGATTTATTTTTTTTTCTGTTTCCTTAACGATGGCTATTACGCAGCCAGTATAAAAGTGATTGGATAGAAAATCTGATAGATTTTTTTTGTTGTGGCGAGTCAGTAATTAAGCAAGCATGTAATTAAGCACACAAGCAAGCAAGTGCTATTGTATTTCTCGATGTCTTCATACCGAGCTTACATCTAATTCCTCGTTCTTTAGCCCGGCCGCTTCCACCCTTGACCTATGAACCTGGAAAGCAATGTTACTCAGAAAAAAAAGGAAAGGCACAGGTCCTAAAATTGACTCTTAGAGTATACTTTGCTCCACAGCCAATTGTCCGGATATGGTTTTCTCTAATGAGATCTATCGCTTTCTCTCAGACAAATGAGATTTAAACCAGTTAACTTAACAAACGAGGGGGCTACAACTTAAATAGACAACTTTTTGGGAGGAGCTTGAGATATGTAGAATGTCCTGATCAAAGGGCTGTTTGTAGATCATGCAGAAGTTGTTATTACATAAGGAATCCACGCAGTAGAGAGCTGACCAAGTGTTTTTCAAGAATCTTTGGGGAGACATGTAAAACAGATATTGCGAGGTAATATTTTGTTGTTT